CCCTGGGCAGCCCATTCCAACGCCCAACAGCCCCTTCTGCACAGAAATCCTTCCTCAGAGCCAGCCTGACCCTGCCCTGGGCAGCTTGAGGCCATTCCCTCGGGGCCTGGCGCTGGGGCCTTGGCTCCAGAGACTCATCCCCCCTCTCTGCCCCCTCCTGGCAGGGAGTTGCCGAGGGCCAGGAGGTCTCCCCTCAGCCTCCTCTTCTCCAGACTGAACCCCCCCAGTTCCCCCAGCCGCTCCCCAGCAGACCTGTGCTCCAGACCCTGCCCCAGCTCCGTTGCCCTTCTCTGGCCATGCTCGGAGTTACAGACTGAGAGCAGATCCTGTATGTGAGCTTCAGAACAGGGCTCCAGCCAAAGCAAAAGCCATTCGAGCTGCAGAGGGCTGAGTGTAGCAAGCAGCTAATAAGCAAGAATGAGCAAATCAGAGAAATTTGTAGAGCTCTGTTCAGCACGGCTTTTGCTGACCTTGGCACAAGTAAAGAGCCGCTGTTTAAAATGAATGCAAAGCCAGATGCTGGCAAAAAGAGAGGAATATGTATGATTCAAACTTCTCTAATGGCGCTGGATCAAAGGACTCCTACCGAGGGGGAAGGCAGGTGTGTCACTTCCATGGCTTTCAAAGCTGAAGCTAAGCCTAGAAGAAACAAAGCCTTCACTTCCTTTAAAGGCTGCAAAGCCTCCACTTTCGTACCATGCTGTTGCAGAGCATGTGAACCCCTCCTGATATCCAGCCCAAGCACTGGAATTTCTTCAGCAATTAACTCACAGGGAGGAGCAGTGTTGGAGATGCTTTACACTGACAATACAGACCCTCACAGAAAAAAATTTTCCAGTGTGGTACAAAGTAGCTCGAAAATAGCCACTGCTCTCCTTTAATGTGAAGACCTCTCAGCTGCAAGAATTTAGACCTTGAGAAGTGTGTGTATTTAGGAGGAAGCAGGGGGAAAAAAAATTGCATGTTGGAGCCTACGGTCTACTGGGCAAAGGGCAGACTTTTAAATGGAGAGAGAAAATTGCTGTGAGGTTTCCAACAATGGTGCATTGGTTTGTTGTTTGGGGTTTGGTGTTTTTTTGTTGGTTTTTTTTTTTTTTTTTTTTGTTAGTAATTGGGTAGGTAAAAAAACAACTCGAAGTGATGGGAGTGATTAGGAAGGAAGAACTCAACTGAGTCAGTTCCAATCTCATGTTTCAATATGCATCCATTTGGCCAGCAAAATGTGCCTTAAAGCTGCTACGAAGAGATATCTACAATGCTGGTGGAAGCTACTCACTACTTACTCTAACCTTAAAAATGAAGGCTTGGTGGATCCCTTGGTGTGGATGGCTGGGTTTTCTGATCTAAACCCTGCTGTGGTTGTCTCCAAGCCTTTGGTTCCTTTCATGTTCCCTGGCTGCAAATAAGCTACCTAGGAGATAAATATTCAACAAATACAGCTCATTCAGTTTGCTGCTCAGGGTCTACACCAGCTTCCAGTTTGGTCTGGGATAAAATACAAAGGCAACAGTGTGTGACCTCCACACACAGGCTGGCTGCAAGTCATTTGGGAGGAGAATAAGCGAAGTAAACCCAGCTATTCCTGAGATACTCTCTAGTTTCAAAGTCCCTTCAGGTCGATAGAGATGATCTGTCCCAAATTCCAGTGTAAGAAGAGCAAAGAAAACTTGCCTACAACCCTATAATTTCCTTTTGAGTAAGGGCTGATTTTTTCAAAAATCATCTCCATCTTCCTGGACTCATCTGAACTTGAAGACTGCAGGAGAGACAATTTGCCATAGCTCACGGTAAGGTCACACAGAGATCTATCAGTGCGTTAAGAATCTGACTTTTCAACTTGCAGTCATCAGATCTTTCTGTATGTCAGTCTGATAATATCTTAATTCCTTAGCACTGAAAAATTAGCTTTGGATAATAGTGTCTCCAACCCTGATTAGTTCATAAAGCCACAGATGAGTGAGAGCCCTTTATTCTGCTGCAGCGGGGAGGTGGCCTAGGCTTGGATGCAGGTGGATGTGTAGTCCTGTTTGCTTTGGATCCTGCTGAACAAGGTGATTTTAATCAGGAATATCTGAGTGTGCTCCCAATGGGGGCATTTTAGAGTTGAGGTACCTATATGAGAAAGTCCATGTCACATAGAAGGAACAGATTTCATGTAATAAACTAAAAAAATACCCATAGATAAACCCAGGTTTGTTGCCCAAGGAAAGACAATTCTGCATTACTTTGCTCTGAGGCTCAAGTTAGTTTAGCATGAGCGGTGTGCTTTGGTTTGTAGCAAAGTAACTGCAGCAAACAGCTCTACAGTGGCTCCTGAGAACGCACAGAATATGGTCAGGATTCAGACTTGGTTGGCATTTCAGGCAGCATTCTGGTTCTCCTAATTGCCTCCTTCTGACATACCATCCTGGCAACTTTGCTCGTTTGTAAACTGATGGCAGGTCAGCTGATGGCAGCAAGGACACCCTAATCTCAGCAGGGTGTGGATTAGGCTCCAGATCTCTGCTGTAGCTGTTCAGACCTGACGATTGATGTGCAATAGCTAGCAGCAGTGTCACACACTGCCTTACATCCCATGGATGCTTCCACCCTGTGTCCTCCAGGGCAAGGGAGGAAAGAAGTCCCAAGGAAAGACTCCTTGGCCACTGGGTGAGGGGAAAGCAGAATTCATCCCCAAACCTGTCTCCACGTCTGTGGGATAAGAAACAAGCCCAGAGACATTTGTCAAGGCTGCCTTTGAAAGGGATTGGGGTCGTTCTCACATCAGCAATGCCGTTCAGAAATGGACCTTGTCAAGGAGGAAAGATGAACAGTTCAAACACGCAGGAGTCCCTGATTATGTTTCCAGCTCTGCCAGTAACTACTCCAGGACAGCGGGCAAAGGGCAGTCTTCTTTATCTTTCAAGCGTACACTGCAGTAATTCCTATCCAAAGTTTAAATGTGTCAGGATACTCAGAGAGTAGGAATACATATGCTGGTACAGACCTTGAGGTCTTTGCTGAAGACCCCTTAAGAGTCATGTTTTACCACTGACGCTCAAGAAATTCTTGATAGTAAACACATGGGAAAGTTGAATCTTCAACTCTTGTTCCTAAAAAGACAGATGATCTGCTGCTTCTTCCCATTGTTCTGTTGGTGCTTCCTTCAAATCTGACCATGTAGTAGTTCGGAGAGGAACTATGTATTTAGTGTGACAGGGTAATCCATTTTGGCTGGCACACTAAGTACAGCAAGTATTTTCAGAGAATCACAGAATCATCTCGGTTGGAAAAGGACCTTGAAGATCATCCAGTCCAACCGTTAACCGGCACTGACCGTTCCCAACTTCCCCAGATCCCTCAGCGCTGGCTCAGCCCGACTCTTCAACCTCTCCAGGGATCCCGGGGACTCCCCCCCCTGCCCTGGGCAGCCCATTCCAACGGCCAACAGCCCCTTCTGCACAGAAATCCTTCCTCAGAGCCAGCCTGACCCTGCCCTGGGCAGCTTGAGGCCATTCCCTCGGGGCCTGGCGCTGGGGCCTTGGCTCCAGAGACTCATCCCCCCTCTCTGCCCCCTCCTGGCAGGGAGTTGCCGAGGGCCAGGAGGTCTCCCCTCAGCCTCCTATTCTCCAGACTGAACCCCCCCAGTTCCCTCAGCTGCTCCTCGCAGGACTTGTGCTCCAGGCCCTTCACCAAGTATTAGCATTTACATCAAAACCAAAACCCAACCCAATCCCCAAAAAGGGCGAGCACCATTCCTAGGAATTCCCCAAGGAAGTCTGTCCTATGCAGACATTTAGTTCAAGTGTCCTCTGAAGGAAGGGAGAAGAAGTGCAAGAAGATTAGGAAAAGCATCATAACTTGGAAGGGGCTAAGGACAACGGGACATGCTGTCAGGAGAGGCTGGGAAACCGTCAGGGCTGGAGAGAGACTTTGGTAGCTTGATTTTGGGGTTGCTTATTTAAGAGGGAACTCAAAGATACGGGTGTGCAGGCAGACGGACTACACCCAATAAATATCCCTTCTGCTCTACGATGCTAGGTGTGAAAGGGTTCAAGGGTATTCCAGGATCCTCAAGTCCTTGTTCATGCCCACAAGGCAAGGGGATTCCTACTGGTGAAGGAATGTGTTCGGATTCATACATCATGGAAGGGTTTGGGACAGGTCTACAATGCTCTTCCATGCAAAATGAAAGCCAGACTTACGCTAACATTAGATTTATCGCTTCCACCAGAAGAAATACTCCATCGATTTAAAACCTAAACATACATAAAAGTGAAAAATTTCTTTTGTTGTTACTTTTATTTCCGGGTATCTGCAGTTTGCCTGCTCAGGGCAAGCTGAAGATGAGGCGTGATTTCTGGTGGGGTCCTCAGCAGCAAATTGTAGAAAAAGGGGAGAAGAAAGCTATTTATCTTTCTTTGGATGTTTTTAAACCAATACCCACTACTGACTTGCCAATACTGATCTTTGCAAGGTCCCCCTGTTGGGTCACATCCGAGGGAAAATCACAACTTGAAAAAGATTCCGTCAATATGCAAAGGCCACCTTCACAGCTTCTTTCCAGCAGTTCAAAGCTCTTTGATGCTGACACTGGCAACTTTAATTCTACAGAGATGCACCTCTGAAATGCTCAAAACATCTCAATCTATAAAACCCTCCTGCCACACACCACAGATTGGCTTTTACATGGTATTTAAGCATTTTTGTATTTACAGCCGTGTCATACCTAAATAATAGGAAAAAAAAAAACAAAACAAAACCCAAAAACAAACAAACAAAAAAACCCACCCAACAACTAAAAACAACAGAGAGATGACATTCAATGAAATGCGTTTGGATTCTGGGTCAACACAGGCTTCTTTGATCTGAACCTGCCTGCTAGATTCACTATCCCTCTCTTTCTGAAACACTGGACAGCCCAAAAGGACACCTCGACACGCACAATAGAAGTCGGATTTGCTGGGACCACATCTCCAGAGCTCAACACAGCGATGCTCTGAGATCTGTATGCAAAGCCTCTGTAGTTCTCTGCTTCCACAAAGAACCGAACTAAACCTCTTGTTGTATCACCCTCTGAGTTCCGGTCTTACCTCTAAGGAAGTCCCATCAAAATAAGCCCCACTAGTGCCACCTGGGCCATGCTGCAGGTGACTCTGCATTCTGCTTCTGACTTTGCTTGCGGATGACAGAGAGTGTTACAAATGGCTCACCTTGCCCCTCTTCTCAGTGCAAGCATAACCCGAATTTCATTGCTTACTGCCAACCTGGCTCTGCCACTTGTATTTCCCTTCTGCTGAAGCAGATATACTTCCCTGAAACTTTCCGGCTCTTGCCCAGTGTGACCAGTGGGCTGAGACACGGAGGAGGTGCCATCAGCCTGCCCTTCTTTATTTGTGTTATCCCCATTGCTTACATAGCCATACACAGGCTCCCGATATCTGTTTCTAGTACCAAATCTCTGCCCTTCTGAAAATATGCTGCCAGGTCTTTCCCTCAAACTGTCTTCCTCAAAGTCTCTTCTTGCCCTGGAAGTTTTCTCCTGTCAAGGAAAGTCATGGATATGGTCATCAGCTGTACCCTTGTGCTACACTGAATGAGCATGCAGCCCCCAAGAAGTGCTGCCACCATCACAGCTTAAATCCCATCGCTGTACCTTTCCTAAATAGCTATGCCCATCATCTGCCACCTTGGCTGCCAATTCATCCCCTCAAGGTGAGGCAGATGCTGACCTCACCTTCTGCCCTCTTCCCTTTCCACCCAGATATCCCCACGGCTGTTCTAGTTTCCAGTTCCTAGCTGTGAGTGGATGTATGGGTGAAATGCTGGAGTTTCAACCCCCAGCCCCACATTAAGGTTGACATGTGGGTGATTCCCACAGCCCTTCCCAAAGGGGGGTGAGTTTCCCTTTAGGCTTCCCTCCAGGGTGGGGCGGCCTTGCAGACAGAGCCATTGGGTCACTGAGCCCCAGGGCTCTGCTGTGAGTAACCCCAGGTCAGGTGTCCACTGAGGGATAACAGCTGGGACCCCGTGCAGGCAGGGCAGTGTCTGTGTGTGAGGTGGGTGCCCTGTGCAGAGTTCCCTGTTGGGGAAGGACCTCCCGCCTCCCTGGGACTGGGCTCCACTCAGGTCTGGCTTTTGTAAACGTGGGCTGTGTAGGGATTCAGTGTGTGGCTTCCTTGGTCTGATGTGTTTGGCTGGTTGACCTGGTTGTCTCCCGTCCCTTCTATGGGAGACTGCTTTTCACCATTTATCCCACCCATTGTTGGTCATGAGGTATCATTGTTGGGGTCAGTGGGATTGATGTCGATTCTGTATAACCTGACTGACTTGTCTGTACCCCCAGCACTCACCCATGTGTTGACCCTTTTTTATCAAATACAATATGATTATTGGTTCATCTTTATGCTGGCCGTGTCCTTTATGCTGCCTGGTAACTGGCAAAAAACAATGGGGCACTCAAGAGATGACCATATAAATACATGGGGAACAAACGTGAAGAAGACAACAGAGGCTATTTGCCATGAACAGACGTCAGGACAGACATTCTCCTTCTGGAATGCTGACCACTCTGTAGGTAAGCTAGTGGTACCTATGTGACTCTCCATGTCCTCGGTGATGAGCATGTGCTTGATGTAAAATGTGTAGATGGAAAACCAAGGTAAAGTATTCAGTGAGAGCTCCTAAACTTTCCTGTGCTCCTGCTGGCACTAGAGGGCTCTAAGAGATGATGGTTCTGGAAGTGTTTGACTAACCTTGCTGTCCGTTGTTGAAGACTCTTTCTCCTTCTCTGCGTGCTGGAGTTTTCTGTTCAGGTCTTGGAACATGTCTTGGTGACGTTTTCTTGTGTGCATGATTTTCTGAAGCAAACACAAGGGCCACAGGTCAGCAAACCCTGTTCAGCTGTGCAGAAAGAACATGTCTTCCCCCCCCCAAGTTACATACATTATTAAAACCTAGCTCTGTCTTCCTGCATGTGCAATCTAGCATGCCTAAACTATGTTTAAAGCTCACTGAGGACCCAGTGTAGCATTGCCTTTATTTTCAGGATGAGATGGTGGGAGAAAGTGGAAAAGACTAATTTTTGACCTTATGATTACCCCAAACCTGCAACTACCGACTGTTTATGCTGTAGAATTTGTGTTTGACTGGCAGTGTTCCACTAGCTAGACCTAGGGAGCTTTGCTGACTTTGTTTAACTGACACCTGACCCCATGCCCACACTGGTTTCAGCGTGTCTCCTTTGCAAATGAGCTTACCCAAGCATGGAGAATTTGGGTAAAAGAACTTCCATCAGAAACTATTCTACAATTTGCCTTTTTTTTTTTTTTTTTTTTTTTTTTTTTCAGAAGGAGAGATGGGACCAATTTCTATAAGGACTTCCCTTAGCATGCAAGAGTATGTTGAACATGGCTCAAATACTTTGCGACCAACTTGAAGTATCAGCTCTAGATAAACCCATTGTGCCTCAATTTCAAACCAAGCTCACAACCTGGAGCTCTGAAGTGATTCTAGTGTTAAGGCAACTCCTCGTGGGCCCTTAAAGTGGCTTGTTTTGGAATAAGCTAGTAGCTTTGCAGGGTAAGGATAGCTCTGCTGAAAAGGATGCCATGATCGGACTCAAAATAGCTGCACTAGCTCTCAGTAGCCCCACAGACTCTCTGGACTACTGGGTCTTTCAAAGCATTCCACCCTGTGCCTCAGGTGTGATGACAGACACTTCCCTACGTTCTGTGTAGACTTTTTCCACCCAGGCTGATTCTGTGAGGCTCATTAATAGGTGTGGAAGGCCAGGGTTGACGATGGGTTGTGTCAGTGGGGACATATTATCTTCCTTTCTGATAAGCAACAGGTCTTATGCACAAAAGTCAAGGCATTTTAGGCCACCAACCTAGATGTGCTTCCCAAACAGGAACGTGGTGCAGTCACCTACTGCTCCATCAGCTTTTTGTAAGCGTTCTGCTCACAGAGGAGAAGTTAGAGGCCTTGGGTAAGCTGGTGTAGGATCTTGATTTACAAATGTTTGCACAGAAGCTACTGCTCCAAAAATTAAGCGGGTACCTACATAAATCACCCATTTGTTCAGCTGCACAGGGTAAGCCTTACGTCCAGCACAACTCTTTGAACCCATTGTTTTTAAACCCTTGAAGAAGCTCTTTGGCCAAGGCAGCACTCCTGCAAGGGTGCCAGAAGGAAAGCAAAATTTCTTTTTCTCATCCTATCCTTAGAAAAGCACATTCAGAAAGGGATGTACTCACCTCAAAATCTAGCTCTGCGTACCGGGATTTCCGCCTCTGGATATTCAAAAGAAAAAGAGATGGGTGAAGGTTAGTATGGGGTTCATGCTGGTGAGTGAGCACAAACTCAACCACACAGTAGATACTATAGGAAAGGTCACAGAATCATTCAGGTTGGAAAAGACCCTCAGGATCATCGAGTCCAACCCTCAGCCCAACTCTACAAAGTTCTCTCCTACCCCACATCCCCCCACAGCTCATCCAAACAACCCTTAAACACACCCAGGGATGGGGACTCCCCCCTCCCTGGGCAGCCTATTCCACTCTCTGACCACTCTTTCTGTAACTTTTTTTTTTCCTAAAGTCCTTCTTTTTCTTCTTCCTACATCTCTAACGTGTTTTTCTGGCTCTCTGTGATGGAAAATGCCAGCCATTCAGAGGGATCTCTACCAAAAAACACTGAACCTTGAGGCGGGCTGAGCGTAGGCTGAGCACGGGAGTTTGACTAATTCAGGCTCTTGTCCTCGCTATGAGCTTGCAGGTCATTCACAGAATGAGAAGCAGAGAAGGAGGAGTAGATCAGCCAGCTGATCTGCTGGGGCTTTTGAGCACCAGTCAGCTGAGACTGAAGTTTGGACAGCAACGGCCAGACCTACTCTCTGACAATAGTCAAGAAAAGGACCAGATGCCCTAGGACAGACCTCAGCGTAAGGTCTAAGGAGAACTGCTAATATATATAATGAATTTACACCAGTCAGAAGGAGAGGGCTGCACAACCTCTGACATCCCTCTGATGCTCAGAGCATTGTGGGGCCTGCCTTGGGGACATTTTACACCTGTGATGATTAGGGTTTTCTCATCTGTATCATGACTGAAGTCACTGAAATGGGAAACAGAGGCAGAGGATAGAAGAAGAAAAGGTAACGCAAGCCGTGTGCTTTGCATCAAAATGAACTTTCTTTGTCACACTAACATTTTTATTGGACTTTGCATTGCCTGTAGGGCTAAAGACTACAGGCAAAAGTTCATTCAGCAATGGAATATAACTGTGAAAGATGTGGGAGATGTTGAACATTACGTTACAAAATGATATCACATGCCAGTGATCTCTCTTGATAATATAATACTCTTGAAACACCTGCTGTGGCCAGCTTTGAGGTCAGAACAATACAGGAATTCACATGCTCACCTCCAAGGAGCTCATGGAGAGGGTGGAGACGGTCTCGCTCTTGGACACCACACCCGAGTTCCCTGAGTCACCTGTGTCACACAGGCTGTTGGGAATCTGTGATTCGTTGGAGATGTTTTGTGGAGCCAGCTGCTGCTGTTGTTGGACCATGGGGGAACCTTGAACCTCACTGCATGGCATGGCTACAGGCTCCCGTGGAGGACTCTTGACAACAAAGCCTGGGTCAGTAGCCATACTGAGGTGGATGAGCCGTGTCTGGGGCATCTGGTCAATATTGATGCTGTATTTGCTCTCGTCCTTGGGCGGTTTGGCCCGTAAGGTAGACGTGTTGGTAGGCAGAATGACGTAGCTGGTGTCCAGCGTTTGCTCTTGTGCCCGGGAGAGTTCTGAGTCCAACTTCTTGAAGATGTCCCCATCACAGATGTAGATGGACTTAGGTGGCTGGTTCTTGTCTTTCTTCAGAGTGAGAGTGTGATTGCTGAATTCATTCAGGTTGATGGCCCCCAGGTAGTGTGGTGAGCCCTGAAGATGCATCTTGGAGACATTGGCTGGAAGACTGTTAAAGTTTGATGACCCCTTCTGGTGATTAAGTTTCAATTTCTCTTCATCTGGCAGTGATGGACGCTTCAGCGTTCCTGTGATGGTTGAGGTCCTGCAGGCAGTGATGTCTTTATTCAGCACTAGGGAGACAGATAAGTATCCTTAGCGCCTCACCTAGGTTTTGGTTAACACTTCAATACCACAGTGACACCGTGCTGGCACGCTCCCTTGGACCTCTCAGCAAGAGGCTGTGGTGGCAGAACAGTGTTTTGTTGGTTTTTGTTTGTTTGTTTTTAAAAAAATCGAGGATGCTAAAAGCAAAGCTAAACCTAGGGAGGAAAAAAATCTTTCTTGTTTGGAGAGAGTTCTCTGTAATGCAAATTTTCCAACATAGTCATGGCCAAAACACCCAACTAGGTTAACACATATTGTTATATTGATAACAATATCTTGAAAAGCAAATACATGTGTGAATATATATTTAGCACATGTACTATGTGTGTATATATATGAAATATATATTACTAGCCTATGGAGGAGTAGAATTGTCTAAAATAAAAAGTTGCTTTCGCGTTAAAAATTATTTTGATTCAGAAAATAGATGAAATGCAGCATTACAAATTATTTCAGATATAAATTATTTCAAATATAAATTTTATTTTTTTAAAATTTTAAATTCACTGAACTGCTTCAGGTTGCTCTTTTCCACCGAACAGTTTCAGCGTCAATTATTTGGCGTTTTAAGATAGACAACATTTTGTTATAAATTTCAAACTGTTCTCCCAAGAAGCTGCTGTTCTAGTAATCATGGCAAGCCTTTGTGAGAGCTAATTATTTAGTGGGTTTCAATTTCCCTTGAGGAAAGGAAGGAGTGCCATGAATATTCCTTAATAGGAGAGGAAAACCTTAAACTGACAAGGTGAACATGACAATTAGGAGGTAAATAAAGGACACGCAGACACTCATTCTCACACAACACTGTCCACAACAAAACAGCTGTTCATTTTCTGTGCATAAGAATCCATCGCTCAGTTGATTTCAGGGTGCAGCTAAGACCTTAAGAAGGTAACGACATCAGCGTTAATGTCTCCAGGGGACGGAAATCATGGACAGGGGAGCAGGGGCAAAGTGGGGTGGGACTGAAGGCTACTTACCCAGTATTTGAGCACAGGAAAGGAGAAATAAATGAATGTTCCCCTTTCACCCATCTCATAAGGAAAAAAAAAAAAGTTTTTCACCTATTTTTTTTTTCCTCAATGGACCAGAGACAAGGATTTTTGGGGTAATCTGATATTATTCAGCTGCTCCACCTGGGATGGAGGCAGGATACGACGTAAGCATCTCATGGGACTGATGACACACTTGTTTTTCCTACCAACTCATACTGGGAGTGATGGGAGCTGGAAGAGCAAAGCTTCCCTCAGAGACTACAGAGCAGACAAAGCAGGATGACAAGGTTATCAAGTAGAATAAAGCGACTTTTAAAAAGCATTTGAAGCTAAGTACATGGAGTGTAACTATGTCAGCTGTGGTCATCTTGACATTACTAGAGGACTTGCTTTGATAACTCGGCAGTACAGCACATTCATTGTGGGAAGACACTGCTGAACTCAGACCCTTCACTTGGGAGTGTCAGTAAGGTATATTGATTCAGGCTCTTCTCCATGCTCATGTCAGCCGTGGAAAGCAGGTTTGGAGAGGTTTGCACTTGGCAATCTCTAAGCACGGAGAAGTGTGAGTTTTCATCACTGAGCCACGGACCCCAGTCCTACCAGTGAATCGGAGTGAGGAGGTTACGAGCAGTATCTGTCATCTCTCCAACCCATCATAACACAAGAGCTGCTGCCTCCAGGAGAAATGATGGCCAGAAACCAATGGACAGATTTCTGCTTTTCATTATTCGATAAGCAGAATGCATAGGATGATGGACCATATAGAAAGGTGTCTGAAAAGGGGACCACAATTAACTACTTAGCTTGGCACAGACAAACAGCACTTTATCACAGGAGGAATATCTCTTCAGGCAGCCATCAACAAACAAACTGTATAGCTGAATGCTGGCAAAGGAAGGGAAGCCTAGGCCGTTAGCAAGCTGCTGATCCAGGGTCTTCTGCCCTGAAGCCATGTGAAGGAAATCATCTCCTTCCTTTCCTCTGGGAAACTTGAGTTGGGAGCAAGAAACTTGGTAGCAGATCCAGAAAGTCTCCTTTATTCCAGGAGTCCAAGGCCTGCCTTGGTTTCCAGCACAAGATGGGCTGCTGGCTATGTAGGTGGCTGTGTGTGCCAACACCCAGCCTGGACGCATGTTAGTTGAGCATGTGTTCAATTCAGACCTGGTCTCAGATGCATGGGGTTTTTTTGCACGTGATTTTTTGGAACCAAGATCTTTCATGTCAGAAAGGAAGGAGGAAGACAAATGAGAAGAGGGAGACAGCTAGAAATTAGATTAGAAAGTGTGAGACGGAGAAGCAGAAAAAAAAATAAATGGACAGACCCTGAAAAGAGATAAATGGACAGAAAGAGACCATGAAATAAGATATCACAGGGATAAGTGAGATAAATATACTGTGACTAGGATAAGCATAGGGAGAGGGAGTGAAGCAGCGAGAAGGACAGAAAAAGATAAATAAGATATAGATAGATATTAGATAGATAAATGCTAGTGACAGTGATAGACAATACACAGAAACACAGTGACAGAGATAAATGTTGACGGAGATAGAAATACATAAATAACAGGTACAGCAAGACAGACAGCTGAGGACAGAGATAAATAAGTGATTGCAAGACAGAAAGAGATGAATTATAGATAAATACATTAGAAGCAGATAAATAAATGATAGATTAGATAAAGAAAATGATAAACGAAAGGGACAGGTAGATGTGGGCAGAGAGAGGAGAGAAACAGAAAGAGAGGAAGGAAGAAGGAAAGAGTAATAAAGAGACACAAGGAATGAAAGGAATAAATATTAATAAAGAGACAGAAAGAAAGAGTAATAAAAAGAGAGAGAAGCTTTCCCATGATGGTATCTGAACACACAGTATGTACTGTCCTTGGCTAGGGAAGATCCTGGTTTGGAAGATATGAATTATATGCAAGTGCCAAGCAAGCTGGTATTCTCTTCCTTGGGAGAGGGGAGAAGTCTGGGAGGGCAAACAAAAGCCTAAATTTCTAAAAAGGGCAAGAAAAAAAACCACCAAAAAAACAACAGCCAAGTGGTCGTACATGCCAGGATCAGGAGAGGACAAAACCTGCAGAGATGAACAGGTAGCAAAGGAGAATCCAGACAGCACAAACACCCCCAGGGGAATGAGAGAAAAGAGAGTTATTGGAGAAAGGCACTGTCAATCATGCAGACCTTCAGGCTCAGAGTCAATGTGTGTGATTGAACACGCAGCAGAAAGGTGCAGAAGGATCACAGCAGGAAGAGACGGATCCAATCTCTTTTTCCTTTATACTCTGCTATCATGTTACAGGGGTAAGAAAAAATACCTCGGAGTCAAGGCTTAATTAAAAGCCTGAGAGAGCTAAGGGGAATTAGGATAAGCGGAGAATAGGAGGAATTTAGGGGTGTTGCTTTCTTTTGGTCAGGGTTGAGAGTAAGGGCAGCCCACACGAGTTACATGCAAGCAACTAAGACACACAAATAAAACAGAAAGGAAAATAAATGGCCTAGTTCAATCCCCAAACCAGGTCACTTGTTGATTCTCACCTGTGATGTGCTCACCTGATCTACAAGCCATATCCACGTCCTTCTCGAAATCGGTCTGAAAGACATAGAAAACGGAGGACACGGTCAAAAGGGGGTGGTGGGGGAAAGCAAGCCGTTTGGAAAATGCTAAAACCCGCTTTAATTAGTGAGGCCGACACAAGCATCGTGAGAAGAGTGGATGAGAGATGTTTTGCTTGGGCGTTGACACATGGCAAACAGACCACTTCTTTCCACCTGTGGCTTCTTGAACCTCAGGCAGTGGTAAAGCTGGAACTTTTTTTTTTTTTTTTTTTTTTTTCCGTCTGGGTTCATCCTCTCATCCATAAATTAATTCCTGGGCTGCCAGATTAAAATACCACCCTGGAACATGTTTATGCACATTACTAAAAATCAGGGGAGAAGTTCCTGGCCCAATCTGCCTTGGATATATCACCCCACACTTAGGCGAAGTGGATTCCCCTTCGCTCATTGAAAAGATCTGGGGATGCCCCTGAGAACACTCCATACCCACTGGGCCTTCTTGTCATTTATCCCCAAGCCACATGAAGTGGAAACAAATCTCTGCTTCTGAAACACTTAGCATATAAAATCAATGGTCCCTGCAGGCACAAAGGCTGAGTAACTTTTTCAAGTGGTCTGTACAGCCAAATGAAACTCCTTTCTTATCCCAGTATGAGTTAATCCTTCTTTTTTTCTAAAGCCTCTAGCAGATAACATTTCAAAGAACTGGATACACTGAGTCACAGTGGGCCATGAGTTTTCATGGACTAATGGAAAGGCAGCACACTAGCAAAAGGTAGAAGAGTTCACTGATTATTTCTAGCATCCTTTCAGAAAGAAGACACTTAATGTAATTGTAGTAATGTGATTAAATGCATTCCAATTTAAAACAAAGAAAAATGTAAAAAAAAAAAAATCTCCATCCCCTCAGATAAACACTTTAATATCAGCAGGTTAAGATCCAAGAGTTTTTGAAGAGCTGGTTGAGGAATTATCTAAGCATTCTTGATGCTAATTTCTTAGTAAATTATTTAAATATAAAATAATTTTGAAAAGGGTAGAGAAGAAATAAGACTGAACTAATGTTTAAATGGGCAAGTGGGATGACACAGAAAAATATAATCTCTTTTTCCTGATAGGAATTCCAGAAAAATGTAACCAAACAGCCTGTACTAGTTCTACTTATAAATAAATAAAAGATAAGTTTATATTTAATAACAGTCAACAAGATTTTGTTGAAAGCAGTTCTACTCAGCTAAGCTTCTTTTCACTCACTGGGCAGATTTGGAGATTACTGGAAAAGGTAACAGAAAAAAAAAAAAACCAACAAAAAAAAAACCCAAACCCATCCTGCAAAGCTTTTGATTTCTTTGGTTATTTTACAACTCGGTCACTATAAAATAACATTGTACCTCTCTAAAAATATCAGTGAGGAGTCATCATTCATGTTTAGATTCTGGAGCTTTTTGTGCCTGAATGTGAAGAAACTGATTGTAAGTTCTCTACTTCTCAACACATCCATCAACAGTGCAGAAGAAAATGTAATCTCATTGCAAAAAAAAAAACCCAAAAACAACAAAACACAACCCTTGTAGCTGACACAGAATTTTCAAGGTCGTCAATAATGAATGAAAACAGACAGTTATTCAGATACAAAAATCTGAAACTTCAGAATATAGCGCTTGGGATGGGTGACAATAGAATAACAAATATAGCATCCACATTTTTAAAGGATGGCGAGAGTCTGAAGGGCATGTGGAAACGGGTTATATAAATAATTTGAAAGCAAATGTCTTACGGAGGGAGAATAAAAAAGCTCAGTGCGCTAACTTATTGAAGGGAAGATTCAGGCTGGATATGATTATGGTGTCTATTATTGAAGGAGCGAAAGTACCAGGCACGCAAGGGGCTTTCTAATTGCACATAAAGAGGCATAGCAAGAACCTGTCCGAATATGAGAAGACCACGGATTTAAACTAGAAATGAGGCACCTGCTTTTAACAAACACCTATGAGGTGGGGTAGGATTATATATCTCTTGATGTCTTGACTTAAAGATTGTGCTGTTTGAAAGGAGGCCGTGTACCCAAGCACAAGACTGGGGGGAAAAAAAAAAAAAAAAAAAAAAAAAAAAAAAAAAAAAAAAAAAAAGCACCGTTGGTTTGTGATATAGGTCTCATATTAACCAGACGGTTTTTGGAACTTGTTCAGATCTTGTGATCGTCCTGATGTCCTTACCCCAACCTCAGAAATCAAATGCCTCGTATATCCCCTACAACACGACACCGAAGCAGATGCAAAACAATTCCCTGTGGTTTATTCTCCTACAGCCTTATCTAGACTTTTTGAAAAGGATTTACACGATGGGACCAAGGTTTACAGTGCTTAAACTATATTCCCAGTGATGCGATATGAACAAGTGCGCTTTTGTGAGAAACAAATCCTTCTGAGACAGCGTCTTTATAATAATGACCTAACAGACTGTGGTTCAAACGGTATTGAAGTACTGCCTCCTAGCTTCGGCTGGGGCAAGGCGGCATGATGGGGATGAAAAGGTCTGGAAGACCCGGGAGGTATTGTTTTGGCTTTGTATTTTCTGGGAGAGAAAGAATCTCACCAAGATGTCTGCAAAACTTTGTGTGCAAGTTTGAGCCCCTTCGTATTGCAGTGCAAAGAAACCGTATTTGTGTGCAAGAGCCTATGCTCGTCAAGCGCAGGTTCAAAGGAAAAAAGAATGGTGATTGCAAAATCTACGCTGGACAAAGACCTTTGTTTATCAGTTATGAGTTAAAAATACCCGTAGCTCCCTTAATAATAGGCTAGGTGTTGTTTTTTTTTTCCCTACCATTAGCTGAGCATGGCCGTTCTGAAATGACCCCCCTGAGTCTCCATTGCCCTCTTCCTGACGATCTACTACTCGGCACTTCACCGCATCCTGGACCTGCAGGAACAAATGTATTTGCAAAAGTCAGAGTCAGAGAGGAATACCAAACCATATTCAATTCTGCTGCAGAAAAAATAAATAATAATAAAGAAAAAAGTCCTTGGTAGATCAAAAGAAAGATGGATCCTACTTCAGTGGCATTCAGGTATTCATTTCAAATAGTTTATATGATACATATCTCACTAGCAGAGAAACTCAAAGGTACCCTGGGTCACTGTGTCGGTCACTTCTAGTTGCTTGATTTATACAGGCAAGAAGAAAAATGTCTTTTCTTTTGCAGCTTGGAGTACATTTACAACGGAAGCTATTGCAGAAATCATTATACTGGGGTCTGCGATGTCTGATTATGATCCTGTATCGGCTGTAGTATATATCTGATCCAAAACCCACTGAAATCAATGGAAAAAAAAATGCCAGTGACTGCAACGGGTGTTCAATGCAGGCCCATATTCATAATGCAATTAATTGAAGAAGTCTCAGCCACGCCAGTAGTGTAATTCCATTGGTTTCATTGGCCCAACATAAGAAATTAATCCGTTTTACTTAATTTAAAGGAGCTGTAAGATAAAATGAATATTAAAAAAAACCCAAAACAACCCAAACCTTCCCGTCTCTGTTGTTAATAGTCTATCCACTCAGTAGGATGAAAAGAATAAAAGAAACATAAAAGATTCGTCCTTTTCTTCCCTGATATAATTCACCATTTTAAATCTCCACAGGGAGGCTGGAAAGAATTTACTCAATTTCCTTGCTTGATTATTGCTAGCTCTCCTTTCCAGCTTGAATATCTAGACGCTAATGCCAACATACAATCATTCCGCAAATCTCAGCCCAAGTTGCCCCTCTTGGAATCAAACAAAGAAATTGTTTTTCTTAATATTCCATTTTTGGAGGTGGGGTGTAAACATTCTGGAAATATTTATTATTTCTGGAATAATAACTCTGCAGTACACTCAGCATGATGAGCATTGATTCATCCCTCCTCCCCTCCGACCGATACTGTCACGGTCATTTTTGTGGTCACTGTCCACACAAAGGCAAAAAGTTCATAGGATTAGAGGAGCTACCAGCCCGACTACATATTTTTCAGATGTTTTCTGGGAAGTATGTTGGTTAGATGAAAGAGAACGGTTCACTCATCTCACCTCCCGCCGTAGGATGCAATGGACCATAACGATGACAAAGCCCTCCAACGAGTCAAAGACAGCAAAAAGGATTTGGAAGAGCGCTGACCGCCGATCTGTGATTGCCAGGACTGCAGACATCCAGGTGAGAGCCAGAAGAGGTAGGACCACGCAGGAGCTCCAAAGGGATGCCCTGTCAAGGGAGAGGAAAAGAGAATTCAGGTCCACTTCAGCCTTCACCCACTTCCACGTGGGATGCTAATTCCAGCCTCCTGATGCCATGGGGCTTCAGAAGACTTCTTCAGCAAACGTTTACTTGTGCTTAGACGTCTTCTGAGCCCCTGTCACAGGGAAGCAGGAAGGTGCTTTGCACACTCACGCTACCAGAACAGGTGACACACATTTCTACAAGAGGGACTATTTTTCAATGGTGCAGTCATGCATAAAACTTGAGGTGGGGAGGAAGGATGCAGATACCTCCCTCCCCCTTTCACACCCTTCCCACTCTATATCCCTAGTCCACAGCGATGGCATTTCCCAAGGAGGGGAGACAAAATACAGTCACTGGAGGTTGCCAAAGGGAAGGGGAACAGTTGCAGCAGAGACTGGTTTGCCACGATGGCTGTCAGTACTTGGGTTACAGACACTTGGACTTCCACAGCACATGGAAGACACCAACACTGGGGACATGTGTCACGGTTTCAAGTGACTAAAACAGAGAAGCATAGAGCTGATGTGGAGACTGATATTTTGCTGTTGCTCCCTGACTCTGCAGCTGACGGTCCCTACAACACTACATCAATGAACAGCAGGAGAATCGATACCTGACCCGGTTTAATCTTGGGTGGACATTCTGGGTTAAAATAACGTAAGACTCAAGCCTCTTCTTAATTCACAAGACAGAAAGCTGGACAAAACAGTTTTCTGAAATGCAAGTTCTGTCCCATAGACCTCCACTTTATCTATGAATGATGGCTCTAGAAATAGGAAAGCAGTTCTGTTCTCATGGACTATTTAGTCATTCAGCGCTTCTGACCAAAAGGGGTCCCAAGAAATTTTAACAGCTTACAAGGGAGATTTTTAAGATGTCAGTTGCCCTGTATATTTGGCAGCACTGGTGCACCAAGAGTACCAGGAGAATTTCTCTGTGGGCCTTTATCTAACAAATAAGAGTAGACCAATGCACAGGCTGAATAATAAGTTGAGCTTCGAGATTTTATTTTTTTTTTTTTTTTTGGCGTAGAAAACCTCAGCCTATATATTATACTAACAAACAAATACAGGCAGCACAATAAATTACAGGACAGATATAATGACACATGTTTTACAGTACTTACATGGGACTTGCTTACCATTTTCTGATATATGCTCAAGATTTTAATAAAGCTTACTCGCTGATTATCCAGGTACCCCTCTCACAGATCTGAGTGAGAGCTTCACCTGACCAAAGCTGGAGCTTGGACATCAGGATGTAACGCCCTGGCTTCAGTTAAGGGTTTTTCAAGGCTTGTCACATCAGTTCTGCTGCAATGATCACATACTGAAGTGACAGGTTACTTTTATAGTCATAATGATACTCTGATTGCAAATATCTCTACAACCTGTCCAGACTCAGATGTGTTCCTTAGTGGTATTATTAAGCAATGTAATTTACCTAAGGGAGCATATAAATGGAATATACTTTTTTTTTTTTTTTTTTTTTTTTTTTTTTTTTTTTTTTTTTACTTCCATGTAAGGTAAAGGTCATGACATAATCTGACACCTTGTAATTTTATACAGGATGGCAAACTGAATGCTAATTAATAGTCCGATATGAACTATAATTTCAAAGTATTATTTAAAAAAAAAAAAAAAGCGCAGTAGCCAGACAGCCCTTGGCCAAACAACTCCTAACCAGAAGTTCTGATTCCACTTCTCCCTCGGCCCTCTGAAATATGTCTCATTAAACTGAAACCTCTCTCTGCTATCATTTGCAGTGGTGCGTTAATAAAACTGCCTAGGCAATAAGTGCGGCGGGAAAAAATGAGAGGCAGAAAAGACAAATGAAAAGATAAGGCTTGCTCCATAACATGCCACTCTAAGATGTGTCTTCCATGCAGGTATCAGCAAACACAACACGCCTGATGCCTGACTTGATAGATGAAGTCATTTCAGTAGCACCGGCAAAGTCAATAGAGGCTGCTAAAAAAGGTCTGTACCAGACAACTCGGCTTCCTGGAATCATCTGGTCTATGAGCAAACTCTTAATAAACACACATGCGTACATTACCACTACCAATGTGCAAACAAGAAACCTGGCAACCGCACCTGAGAACGGATCTGACCTGTAAGTATCGGTCTGAAGCAGATACCTAGATTTTAGATGGGTTTTCCACTCTTGAAATGCAAGACTAGACTTTGCATCCAAGATTTAAACGTAGATTTGGGCTTGTAAGGAATGCTGATGAGGAGGTAAACTTTCTCCTTAGCAAACGGTTAGATTTCAATCCACCGGCTTCAAAACCTGCTTAAAAATATATATATATATATATGTAGGCACCCTGCTTTAACAAGGCACTGCTTGAGTCTATTTGCTAGCCAGGGCACAGATGCAACAAACCGTAACTACGGTGGGCTCCCTTCAGAGCTCCTGCCGTCGTCACGGGACTCAGCGAGCCCCTCCCAGCCCCTCCTCTGCGTGTCTCCTCCATCTGTGCAAACTATTCCGCTTTCTTCTGAGTCGAGACATCCTGAGGGGCTTCACCATTGCTCCCCAACAAAAGCAACCTTAAACCGCCACTTAAATCTCTGCCCTTCCGACCAGATGATGAAAGCATCACCTGCATTTCCAACTCGGATGATGAAAACAGTATTATGCCATGTAATTAGCTGAAGGAAATCAGGATTTTTCCCAAATGGGTTGTGCTGACTTACACCAGCTAAAAGTCTGGCCTTTCCGCTCTCTTTGTGATTCAACTTGCAGATGCCTTCTCAACAATATTCATGCCTTACAAACGTTATGGAAATGTTGCTTGACACCTAATGCATAATCTTTATTCTCAAGCAGCAGATGGCAACAGGTCATAGGAATGTAACTTACTTTAATTACACTTTCAGCGTTCTGCTTTGGTTTTGAAGTATTAAATTCAAAAAAAGCCCTTTTTTTTTTTTTTTTTTAAATCATATCAAGACTGAAATTTCAGAAGAAAACTCAGGGGAAGATAAGTGGGCTTCCTGTAACATTGCCCTTAATTCTACCTGCTGGGAGCTGAATCCTTAGCAGAACTCATACCTCTATCATCTTTTTCATCTGTCCCTTTTTTTAGGAGTTACTTGAAAGGTTCTTGAAAGGTTCCAGAATAGCTTAAATGACTTAAGAAACTTCATGTTATGGTGACATGTGAGTGAAATGAAACTATTTGCTATATAATGTCATTGTGATTACCTAATGACTCTTCATTATGGATTATCTGTGATTAACGAATCCAGGATTTTTTTTTTTTTTTTTTTTTTTTTTTAGCTGGCGGATCCTCTTATTTGTCCCATACGTGACAGCACTCAGGATGAGTGACAGCAATATCAAGGGAGTATTATTACACTGCATCGTGGGAGCATGATGATGGTTTATTGTGTGACACCCATGACATGACAACGTTACTCAGCAGTACAGTTGTAGTGTCATGTTGTTCCTCCACCACACCGCGCTACTGCTGCGTTGCAGAGGAAGGGCGTTACGTCGGGATATGGCAACGCCACAGCACGGTGCAACCAAATAGGATTAAAATGGTGTGTGAAGACGTGGCCACACGATAACATTGTCCACAGCTTTATCTAGCACGGGAAAGACTTAGCTTTATGAAAGCACATAGCAGACCCAGCTCTGGCCACAAGCAGATGATGTCTTTTGGTCAAAATGACAAAAATTATCTGTGGTTTGGTTCTGTAGCTAGCTGGCAGCCTTGAGAGTCTTCATCTTTGCAACAGAAGCAGGATAAACTGATGGCACTTGGAGGACAGCGATGGAAAGAGCAAAAAATGGTTTTGGATACAAAGATCTACGTGAAGAAAGATTAAGGCCTGCACCCTGACAACAGGCAAGTGCAGGGGGAGACACAATGCACGCCAACAAAGATGTAAAGGCTCAATTATAAAGAGGTGATCAATTCTTCCCATTACTCAACACTGACAGGGCCGCCAGTACCATAAGCTAATGAAGCAGCAGAAGGAAAAAATAACTTTATAATTCAGAAAGCGGGTCCTGGAGAGGAGCTCTGAAAAGGGAGATGGCAAGGGAGGGCTCTGTAACATGCTGCGCAGAGTGGCACGAGCTGCTCCACTATTCCTGCACCACAGAAGTTCTGCTACAGGGAAACCACAGTACGAGGATTTACTTTACTCATTCTCTCATGCTTTATCCCTCCTCTAAACTTGTATTCCTCCTAAAAGCAAGAGTGCTGCTCCGATTTTAGGGACAGATTCAGAGAAACTCCCTTTAACTCAATGCCCATGTAACCAAGATAGGAAATTTGTAATTAGAAAAAAGGGGGGCAC